CTTCACATCCTGGTTAAAGGGACTATAAGTCCCCAGTTCTTAAGTCAGTCTCCTGTGGCTTGCATCCAAACTCTTGAAACCGACACTTGCCAGCTGTGTTACCTTGAAGACATCACTTCATTTCTCTGAGCCTCGGTTTCTGGATCAATACAATAATAGTTCCCACTTCACCAATAACAGTTGTGCGATTTAAACAGAAATTACTCACTGCTCAGTGTGCTTTGGGATTTTCACTGTTTCTCCCACAGCCCGTGACATCTCATCACCTTCATGGCACAGGGAAAGGCTAAGGGAGCTCCACCAATTGATGCAAAGTCTTGCATTTTACAAACCAGAAGCGAGATTTTTAAGACAGATTACTCTAACACAGTGTTGAAGAGAGTAAACTGGACATTCCTCCACCATCAGAGTGATTACAAGTACGGAGGCTATGAAGCATTTACCCCCGTTTTTGCTGTTAAATAATTTCCATCCACGCCCCCAACATTTCTGTGAACATGGGCCGAGGAGCAGTGCCCGGATTTGTTCCCCACGCCCCCTGGGCCTTCCCTGGGTCTCCCAGACTGGGGGGAGCTGCCACAATGAACCCTACGCCTCCTTGTCCTTCCTGAGCTCTGAGAACCTTTACCCCTGAGGCCGGGAAGCCCAAACAGCTACAGGTAACACCGGCACTGGCCCCCAAGCGTGCTGGCTGAGGGCTGGTGGTGCCCCCTGCGGAAGACCACAGGGCCTCGCCCTCCAGAGGCGCCCAGCAGCCGGGAGGAACCACCGCAACCTCACCGGCCCTCGTGGGCCTCCCTAACACCCAGGGTACTTTGCTTTAGTCCACGCACCTCTGTCTGAAAGGCTCTCCCGCCTCCGCCCGGTGCCCAAGGTCCCCTGTCGGAGGGGGCCAGGTGGGGCAGCGGCAATCAACCCAGGGCAGGTGGCGGGGTGGAGCCTCCCCTAAGAATGACGGGAGTCCCCGGCGGGAGCATCATTCTTCCCACCACGTAGTGAAGGGGCCCACACACCTCAGGGAACCGGGGACCACCGGGCGGCAGGCCAGGCGCGCGCGCCCAAACACACAACCGCAGAGACCCGGGCGGCGGGCGTCGGGGCTCCCCCCGCAGAGCGGCGGCAATCCCGGAACCAACGTCCACTGACCTGGGCCCGGCCGCTCGGCGGCGCCGCCATCGCGGGGCGCTGCGGGCGAGCACACCTCTGCTCTGCGCGCCCTGGCGACCTCGGCGGACCGCGGCGTCCCCCGAGTAAAAGGCACCACGACCCGGGCGCCGCCCTTGGCGACTGCGGGGATGGGGGCGGCTGCAGAGGCCGCGGCCCAGCGGGCGGCCGGCGGAGGGCACACCGCTCCAGGGGGTCACGGCCGCTACACAACGCGAGGGTGAGTTCCCTCCTCCTTCCGGCTCGTTCCCCGCGAAAGGGCCAAGGTGCGGCACCGGCCCAGCGCTCGGCAAGTCAACGCCGTCCCGGGGCGAACGGCGGAGGCTAATGGCGGCGGCAGCGGAGCGCCCGGAAGTCCCGCCCACGCAGGGCGCCTCAGGGAACGCCCCTTTCCGGGGCTGTCAGGGGCCCGCGCCGCCCCCGACGCCTTCTGGGTACTGTGGTTTCCCTCGTCTGTGTCCGGCCGCGCGGCGCGGCTCTTCGCCGGAGTCTTCCTCCTGGAGGACGGAGCGCGAGCCGCTGAGCGGCCGACCGGCCTCTTTGCGATTCGAGAGGCCCAGGGGCGGGAGCGAGAGCCTTCGTTCTGTAAAACCGAGGCTCGGGACGGACGTTCGTCAGGGTGGAGGCATATGCAAAGGCCCAGAACTCGCCGTCGACTCGAGGCTGGCCGGTGGACTTCCCCTTTTTGGTACCACCTCCCCCGATCCTCTTGTCTGGGAGCAGACAAAAAAGTAGTCTAAAAATCGACACCGCAGTCCGCGTTCACAAATTGCGCACTCTCTTGGGCCTCCTGTAAGACGAGTGAATTTCTGAGTCATGTAATTGGCCCAGATTGCCAAAGAATGGATTTGCCATCCTGTGAAGTGGGGAGGAGCAAACAGAGGGCGTGCGGAGGGAGACTCAGGACTCCAGTTTTGAACGTTGTCAATTTGAAACCCCCATGAGACCACAAGCGTGTGTTAGGTAGGCATTTCAGCCAATGACTGAGCATTGGACGAGAGTTCAGCCTTGATAAAATAAAGGAAATTTTCAACTTTCCGTGTTTGTGGGCCCTGCTTTTCGGGCTCGCAGGGAAGCTATACTTTAGCATTTACCAAAGTCGAAATGACTTTGGCAAAACGTCAAAGCATGGGCTCTATTTCTGCCCCAAGCACACACTGCACATCCGCTTTGTTGGAAAAAATAACCGAAAAGGAACATTCTAAACATAAAGATAAGGGGGGGAACCCCTCCTTAGTTCCCCTTAAAGTCATACGGTTTTGCACATACTAAAGACGTAAGACAAAGTCTGTAACTTTCTGGAATGCCCCTGGTCATGATGATTTGTAACTCTGTGTAAAAACAAAAATATAACACTGTACCAAACGTTCCTTCCCCAGAGCACTCTCTTCTTTGTGAGTGTGTACTGGTCAGCTGTCCTAACTTGAGCTTAAATAAAACTCTTTTTTTTTTTTAAAGATTTTATTTATTTATTTGACAGAGAGAGAGACAGCGAGAGAGACAGCGAGAGAGGGCACACAAGCAGGGGGAGTGGGAGAGGGTGAAGCAGGCTTCCCGCTGAGCAGGGAGCCCGATGCGGGGCTCGATGCGGGGCTCGATCCCAGGACGCTGGGATCATGACCCGAGCTGAAGGCAGACGCTTAACGACTGAGCCACCCAGGCGCCCCTAAAACTCTCTCTTTAAAATTTTAAAAAAGGTTTGTTCATTTTGTGTGGACCCTTCACCTATATTCCAAATCATGATACTACGTAGGACTATCAGAGGAATGAATGTAGACTGGAGAAGAGAATGGATGGAGCATGAATCCTGGACCAACTTGGCTTTGTTAACTGGTTGATGTCAAGAAACCAACAAACTCACATTACGGTTCTAAAGTCCACCCAGAGGTACATAAAGCAATCTTAGAAGTCACCATTGGTGATTTTTTTTTTTCATAACTGTGGAGCTGAGAGAATCAAATGCATCTTTGATGATTTGAGGATGCATACAGATTGAGAACTGGAATCACGGAGTATAGAAATGCCCTTGAGTTAATAACCCTAAGATGAGAGAGAGTCATAGTGACAAGTTATTAATTAGGTCAAGGAATGAAGACTATATCAAGAGTTCTGTAGAGAACTAGTAAGATACATGTTTTATAAATATTTACATGTATACACCTTTTATAACTATATGGTGTATATATGTGTATTGCATATACATATGTAGGTACAATATGTATATGAGATTTATTTCAAGAAATTCACTTATATGATTGTGGGGCGTGGCAAGTTTTACTCTATCCATAGGGTAGAGGGTAGGCTAGTGGGCTGGAAAGTCTCCAGACAAAGCTAATGCTGCAGTCTTGACACTGAATTTCTTCCTCTGAGAACTCTTACTTAAACCTTTAAGATCTTTTCACTGATTGGATAAGGTCCACCCACATTACCAAAATAAAATCCTTTGCTTAAAGCCAATCAGTTGTAGATGTTGAGCATATCTATAAAATATCTTCACAGCAACACTAAATTAGAGTTTGATCCAATAACTGGCTAGTATAGCCTAGCTAAGTTTACACATAAAACTAGCCATCATATTCTACCTCTTGTCAACTTGGCACCCACATACATCTCCTTAAAACATACTTAATTTCCAAATAAAAACAGTAAAAAAAAGTCATACTTATGCTTAACTAGATCAAATCTGGTATTGGTCCATTGCTAGGACGGACCATACTACATATAATGGACTTTATATGATGAATGCAATATGATCCGAATGAATCTGTTGACCTATTGACCTAATGTTAAATTCTCTGACATTAGAAATTGTCCTCTGGTTGTGTAAGGTAATATCCTTTTTCTCAGAAAATACAAACAAATATGAGACATGAAGTATGAAGCTCTTAAATGTTTCAGAAAAATATAAATTGATGGAGAGTGGGAGGGAAAAGGATGAGTGATAGAGCAAATGTGACAAAAGTGTAACAAAAATACACTAGGAGGAAACATTGTTATCACCAGAGATGAGGAGTCAAAACCAAAAAAAACACAAAAAACAAAAAACAAAAAACCCATACAAACAGACCTTGTTAAGATAACTTTGGGGGCGCCTGGGTGGCTCAGTCAGTTAAGGGTCTGCCTTCGGCTCAGGTCATGATCCCAGGGTCCTGGGATGCAGCCCCGCATCGGGCTCCCTGCTCAACAGAAGGCCTGCTTCTGCCTCTCCCTCTGCTTGTGCTCTCTCTCTCTCACTCAAATAAATAAAATCTTTTTTTTTAAAGATAACTTTTATCTTCCTTTAGTCTCCCCATTTATTTTAGCTACTTTTGAACAATTGCCTCTCTTTGTTCAACTTAATATATAAGCACTTAGGTTTTGCTACTTCTTTGGGTCTTCGTTTCCTTATGAAGCCTTGTGTATCAGGTAGAACTTACATTAAATAAATTTATAAGCTTCCTTCCTGTTAATATGTTTTATGTCAATTTAATTCTCAGGCCCATCCAGAGATCCTAAGAAGGTAGAGGTAAAATTTGCCTCTTCTACATAAGCCATGAGCCACCCAGGCATCCCGATATGTGTACTTTCAACATTTATATTATACTTCAATAAAAAGTTAAAATATTGGCTGGGGCACCTGGGTGGCTCAGTCCATTAAGCGACTGCCTTTGGCTCAGGTCATGATCCTAGAGCCCCGCACTGGGCTCCCTGCTCAGCGGGAGTCTGGTTCTCCCTATCCCTCTGCCCCTCCCCCCTGGGCTCGTGCTCGCTCTCTCATTCACCTTCTCTCAAATGAATAAATAAAATCTTTAAAAAAAAAAAGTTAAAATATTCTATGAAAAATGCAAGAAAAAAAATCCTTGCTCTAAGTGGTAATAATAGTTTATCCTTTTAATATAGCCTCAGGGACACAGAATTTGATTAATCATAATCACTGATTTATATGACATTGTCATCGTTTTTGTTCTTTTACAACTCATTTCACTTTGTAAAATTTAATATATATGTAATGATCACCTGTGAATTTACCACGCAAATCATAACTAGAACATTATCAATCATTTATATCAAATATACCTGAGAGATAACCACTGTCATAAATTTTGTGTAGATGACTTATTTATTTTTTAAAATTATATATCTGTATGTGCCTAGATAAAGTTTGGTTCTACTTGATTTTGAACGGTAAAAATGGGATGTCTTATGATATGTCATTATCTGGACCTTGCTTTTTACCTCAACATGCAGGTCATGATCCAGGGTCCTGGGATCGAGCCCCGCATGGGGCTCCCTGCTCCGTAGGAAGCCTGCTTCTCCCTCTCTCACTCCCCCTGCTTGTGTTCCCTCTCTCACTGTGTCTCTCTCTGTCAAATAAGTAAATAAAATCTTTAAAAAATATGTGATGGTGAAAATTCTATGTTTCATGGTGATGCTTTGTAAAATAAGTATTTTTAAAAATATGTTCATGGGGTGCCTGGGTGGCTCAGTCGGTTAAGCGTCTGCCTTTGGCTCGGGTCATGATCCCAAGGTCCTGGGATTGAGCCCCGCATCGGGCTCCCTGCTCCGCAGGAAGCCTGCTTCTCCCTCTCTCGCTCCCCCTGCTTGTGTTCCCTCTCTCACTGTGTCTCTCTCTGGCAAATAAATAAAATCTTTAAAAAAAAAATACGTTCAAATTGACTATTTAAGCAGTGATGCTTTTCAGAAGGCAATCAGAAAGGTTCAGTAATTTTTCCAAAGTCATACAGAACTTAAGTATAAAGTTAGTATTCAGAATTATGTGTCTGGCTGGGTCCAGGATCTATATTTATAACCACTTTACTATATTGTCTATCTGGTGTTGCAAATATTTTTCCCTATTTGTAAAATATTTTATTTTTATCTTTAAATTCCAAGGTTTTAAAAAAATTTTACTGGGTGCCTGGGTGGCTCAGATGGTTAAGCGTCTGCCTTCGGCTCAGGTCATGATCCCAGGGTCCTGGGATCGAGCCCCACATCGAGCCCCGCATTGGGCTCCCTGCTCTGCGGGAAGTCTGCTTCTCCCTCTCCCACTCCCCCTGCTTGTGTTCCCTCTCTCACTGTGTCTCTCTCTGTCAAATAAATGAAAAAATCTTTAAAAAAATTTAATAAGAAAAGGTCACCACTTCAAAAGATAAGTGAAGAGCATTAAAAAAAGCAATTTAAAAAATGTATATAATAAACATTGATAAAAATGTGTGAATATGGTAGTACTCAGAAATGCTCCTGTGATGGTTTAGGTGTACAGGTTAGTATAAATTATTAAATCTCTATTAATGGAAGAATAGGAGACTTACCTAGCCCTTCCTAGGTTAAGAGGGTCTATGATTCTAAGAAGTGATTCAA